TAAGGACTTACAGGATATACAATGTGTAGTTTTTTGGTAAATAAAATAAAAAATATTCCCAAATTAAGTAAATTTTAAATACTAATTCCTTCTCAAGGCTCTTGTAAAGAAAAACTATACTTAATTATTAATGTAACCCCTTTTCCATAATTATTTCATATGTAGACTTTCTTTACGATTTTTTGTCCATATTTCTGCATAATTTGTGAGAATTAACAGGAATTATTCGAGCGAATGCCACAACTCCGTTCATAAACACCGAGAAATTCCACTAATTTAGCAGTTTGAGAGCCCCCTTAAAACCCCTGCCGACCAAGTAACCCAACTCCGGCGCATTCCCGAGGGCATAACAAAAGCCTCTCTATTAAGGCGTTCGAGAGGAGTCCATTTAATTACCAAGACGAACCGCACACACAAATTTTATCCATGCAGCATGGCCAATTGAGTTCGTCATAGGCATTTCGTTCGGGGTTCCAGGAGGGGTAGATTGGTGTCCGGGGTACATAACACACATATGTATATGTATATGTCTGCCCATTTGTGTTACTCGTGTGCTTGTGCCTGTGCATCTGTCTATTTGAAGGGTTCGTGTCAAGTACGGAAATCCCATTAAATGTCGGTAGGCACTTTTCCCGAGACAAGTTGTGAGTGTGTATCTACGAGTAGCCAGTGGATGGATGGGGGGTTCATTCGTGTTGTGAAAGCCAAATTTTCACAACAAGTCAAAACAGACGTTGCAGAAGTCAGGAAAGAAACAAACAAAGGCCAGTCGTCGTCGGCCAGGGAGCGAGTTAGAGATAGAGAGGGAGAGCATTTAGCCAAAAACCCATAAAACAAATTTCTCTTTTCTCCGTCTGGGTAATGGAATTGTTTGCTTCTGTTGAACATTTTTCGACTCGCTGCTAGTTCGAGTTCGAGCTACAGCTTCGACTTGGCCACTGCTTCAGCTTCTGGTTCTGGTTTGGTCCGTTCTGGTTCTCGTTTTTGTCTGGACAGGCAGCTTACAGTTGTTATGCCCATTACTCAACATCAACAAGAACATTATGCCACCGCAGTGGCACTCACGCTGGCGATGGTGATACTCCTCCTCCTCCTCCACCACCAGCCCCGCCGGCATTCCTATTCATGCTCCAATCTCTGCCACACACACGGACACGGACTCCACTCCGCTTCTCTGCACTCCACTCCATTCCACTCGGCACTCCACATGCTTTTCTTCATTCAACCCAAACGATTGAGCATCTATTCAAGCAGCCTCCTCGTCGTCGTCGTCGACGTCGTCATCATCACACAGCCGACGACGACGAGTCAACGCTCCAAAAGCCAAATAAACGACCCACAACGCTGCCCCTGCACCCACCCCTTTTGTCAGCCGCCTCTGCCAACCTGTGCTCTTTAGGGTGGACCAGAATAAGTCACAATAAATCCCAATCCTAAAGGATGCTTGATTTTTTAAAGGATAAATTCAAGCTAAATTAATTTTTACTTGATTAACCAGTAATTCTTTTGATTTTTTTTAATAAATAAATTTTGCTTTTTACTTTAAGAGATTTGTATAAGATTTCCCTAAAAGCTTTTCGTCTAATTGATAAACCTCCTTGTTTCGGGTCCACCCCAGACATACTTTCATTGGCCCGATCCGATGCGAACTGAACCGATCCGAACCGGGGGTCGTCGGTCGTCTGCATCCGAAACCGAAACAGAATCTGAATCCGAATCCGAAAGCGAATCGGAATCCGAGGAGCGCTCGTGTCTGCTTGGCCTGCTGTCGGCTTCGTTTCATACGATTTGTTGGATTTGCTCATGAAGTTGTTAAACAGATTGTCGGTGTAGATACCTTCATCATTTTGCACGCCGTCGCCTGGCCTCCTCCGCCACGGCCTCCACTGCCACCATCACATCCTCCTCCCTTTTTTCGCCCCAAGTATCCAGCCAATTCCGTGGTGTGCGTGCGTGTGCTTGTGCGATTAGTTTTATGTAATTTTATCGAGTATTTTAAGGATTTTGCGGCTTATCCGCGCTTCATTTGGAAATTGTTTCGTGTTACTTATGTCGGGATGTGTCTTCTCTCCGAGGAGGAAAATGTGGCATTAGGGTGACGATGGTGTTGGTTGGTGTCGGCCCTGGTGCCGTGTGTCTGCTCTGAGCTGTCTGGCCCTGTTTCCCCCGTACACTCACATTCCTCGTTTTCCTCGCTCGGCAGCAGCCTCAGCTTGTTATTGTCCCTTTTTTTCTAGTGTTTATGGAACTGTCGTTATTTGTTTGTTTGCCATTGCACGAGTGCCTGGATGTGTGTAAATGAGCTCTTTGCATGTTTTTCCCATTCTTTGCTATTATTTCGCCGCTTATTCCGCTCGGCTAATAGAATTACACACAACGCCAAAGATTTATGGGGCCATTTAACACGCTTTTGCATTATATTCTCACCCATTTCGGCCTGTTCATTGATTTTACACTGATTAACACGAGCTTATGTTAATTATTCCTATTTTTCTCGCATTATAAATAAAGAATAAATAATAATAATTGGCTGAGCCGTGGCGTACGGTAACAAATACGTCTCTCTGTCGGCATTAAATATTTTAATAAGCACTTTGTGTGTGTGTTTGCTAATTATCTTATCGCTAAATGAAGTTAACACGTAACAAAAACAGTAACTGGGATTAATTTAGCACTCACTGGTGCTTTGACTAACGATGTCTTCGTGAGGCGAAGCCTCAATTAATATTTAAATATATATATTCTTTTGACGTAAGAAGAGTGTATAAATAACTGAAAAATAAGTTCACATTCCTTCAATTTATTTCCCTTCAGACGTAATTAAACAAATGGATTGTAATTAATGAACTCATTACTTATTAATTCAACCAAAGTAAAGCCATTTTCTGAGGTAAACATTTCCCCAAGCTAAGGGTTTCTAAGAAACATTACGGTAAAATATAAAATAAAGTTTTTTATGTAAGAAATCCCCAAAGTCTCAATCCCATCTTTAGTATAGTTTTTTCCTGTGCATCTGCAGCTTTCCCTCTGCTGCTCACAATTAAATATTCATTTATTTACAAATTACCATCGCACGAGCTTATCTCACGTACACACCTCTAGGGCCAAGGTTTTCCAGCAGCCATTCCGAGACAGCTTTAGCCAGGGGATGGCTTAGATCAAGCCGCTTGGCTACCCAGGCAGCCAGCAATGCTAATTAATTCGCTTATGTAATGGACAGCAGAGCAAAGCACAGCACAGGTCAGCTCCAAAGGGGGGGGAAACACACTGCGGAGCAGGGAGGAGGTTCTGGCGAGGCGGGGAAACCTTTCGCTCACTTCTAATCGACCCCAATAAATCGGCACTCAAGTCAAGTGTGCGCGGACGGACGGACTTTTCAATCAGATAAGCAGCATTTATAAATTAAAAGCGCAACAAAACAGATTAATAAAAGTTAAACTTTAACGGCACCTTATAAATAAGCCAAATGACTAATAATAAAATATGAAAGCGCGCACAAAACCTCGACATCAAAGGCAGCCAGCAACTGTGTAACACACCAGCAGAAAAAAATATACACAAAATACAAAACCGAACCAAACTGAACCGAGAAACCAGAAGAGCAGGGAAACCGCAAGGGAACTCATCCATTTCTCAACAGCATTTTATGGTATTTTTTTCGTTTTCTTTATTTCTGAAATATTTGTGTTATTTGCGCGCCTTAAGTTTCCGTTTGGCGTACACATCGCTTCTTTATTAAATGCATTATTAGCACGTTATTTATTAATTAAACACTCAAGCCTTTTAATGCGTCTCTAATCAGATGGCCTCGTCGCAGCGCTCCTCCACCTGCACCTCCACCCCACTCGCACTCACACTCCCTCCTGTCACTGTGGACGGTTGGGCGGTGCAGATAAGCGGCGCGCTAAACAAATGGAAATGTGGAAATGGGCGGCTCCGAGCGGGCCAAGAGATAAGCACGTCGGAGTGGTGCAAATTGTCTGGGAATTTCCTCGAAATCAATCTCTTGTTTCCCTCGAAATAACTAACTTCCCGAAAATCAGGTTAAAGGTAAATGGTAGTGGGTTCATTAGAGGAGATAAAGCGTTGAAGATTTACGGCGAGCAATGAGTAAATACGAGTGGTGTCATGTGAATGGTAATCCCCTCGTCAGCCTGGATTTAAGCCTGCTCAAAGATGGATCGCAAACGAGTGAAACCGAGTGGTATTGTATTACTAAGTAAATTGTATGGGGTTAAATAGCAACCTGTTAGGTTGCACAAAAGTTAAAGAAAGAAGCCACTGGCAGTGGGTTTGTAATAAACTTATATGGAAAATATATGGTCCCAAACTGGGAACTGATCACAACAGCAAGCTGTCATTCTATCAAATCTACGTGTTTGTTTCTTTTAATTTAATTGCATTTCCTTGTAATAGCTCATAACTAAGCATTGTTATTTAAGACCCTTGCAGGACGTAATGTTTTATATAATAGTTTAAAGCAAATAATAATCAAATGCCAAGCAGTTGTTTGTACAACCACGTTGGAATTCCCCTAAATAATGCCTCAACTGATTCAGGTCGTTCTACATGTTCCGCTTCGGACAAAGCTAATATAATTGCCGTACAAGGCGACTAATTAGCCCGACACTCATAGCCACAATAGCCGTGATAAAGATCTGGTTTTGGTCGGGAACCTTATCTCTGTCAATACTCGCATTTCCCTTAAACACTCAGACGAAAATAGGCAGCGGAATTCCATATAAGTAGGGGCAACAATAGCTGCGGATTATGGCACACGCCCCCGGTTTAATTGATTTGGGATCCCATTGAAAAATAGTTTCCTCCATTAACCCAGAAACCCAACCCGTTCTCCTCCGCGCCGAGCCAGAAACAGAAGCAACAAGGGATGTGACACATGAGACGGGGCCCAGCCAGTATCGGCGGGGAGCAGTATCGAATTAAGCAAACAAATAATTATAATTAAATGTGCGCCGGGTTAAGCAGATGTCTTGGCTCACCATGAATCCGGGGTCGGGGTGTATAGATGCTCGAGGCGTTCCACCCGAAGCTCCTCTCTCCAGCAGCAGGCGGCAAAGTAACTCCAGTCACTAGACTCCAGACTTCAGACTCCAAGCGATGATGATGATGTTGATGCTGATTATGGCGTTCTGGGTCGATGGAAGCGATGGAAAGGGGTGGGCGGTCGGCTGGTTGAGTTGTGTTGTGTTGCTGCTCCTGTTGTCGTTGTTATAGTTGTTTTTGTTGCTCAGCGAGGGGGCAGCCGGAAATGTATATTTTGGTTAATTTGCACAAACACAGCTGGAAGGCGAAGAGATGACGTAGGTGAGAGCCGAGACGACGAAGATGATTAAGAAAAGAACAAAACAGAGGAAAAAAAGAAGAGAACGGGGGCGAATAAAATCCCCAACGAAACACAATGCAACAGTAGCCATGTTTATACGACGCCTCCAATCACGATTAGGCTGTCCAAAAAATAGGCTATATGCTATTTATTCCCCATATTGGGTAATACTCAAATAATTCACTTTGTTACTGCATATAAATCAGCTGTGAAAACAATTTAGCTGAAAAGCTTATGACCCATTAATTCTAGCTTATTTGTTTTATTTATTACTTAGTTTAGGAATTTCCTTAGTGTTCCTTTCATGAATGATAATATATTATTATTAATATATTATTATTGTAAATTATATCCCAACCCGTATCTTATAAAAATAAACAGTTTTAAATTCCTACTGCCAGAATATTTGTAAATAAATAAATACCGAATAAAGACGTGCAACCGAATTTCTATGACTTGCTTGAAAAATATCTTTACCCTTAAATTTCACTCCCACACTATAATCAATTAATTATTTATTAATTGCTTGCATTTGGTTAATTAGGCTAAATTTGGTAAGCATTGAACTATAAATTTGGAGGGAATTTATGGTCAAGTAGGGAATTATAGTTTCTTTTAGAGCTAAGCAATGAAATCATTTTGTAGGTGATTATTTTGAACTTAAAGTAAATTGTGTGGTTACTTTAAAATGTAGTTTTTAAGTATTTTGACAAGAAATATTTAACATTTGTTTACAATTCTTGTGGTTATTTGGCAGAGTATATTCTTTTTGAAGCCCTAAACAGCAACAACACGTCAGCAGGAGCCGAAGAAGAAGAGCAGCAGCAGCAAGAACAGCAGTAGCAGGGACAGTGGACGCAGGAGCGGGAAGGTGGGTGCAGTGGCAGGAGCATCCTTTTGGGGGGTGGTGCGCTGGCCACAAAGCGTCGCGTCGCGTCGGTGGTGACGCCGACGATAACAGCAACAACAGAACACGAGCAATATCAACGGGGACGCATCAACGGTGGTGGGTTGCCTGCTGCTATTTGTTGTTGTTGTTGTCGCTGCTGCTGCTGACGCTTGGGTTTTTTGCTTTGTTGTTGCTTGTGCTGCTGCTGCTGCGCTTGCGAGTTCTTTTCAGCAAATTTGTTGAGCCTTCGTCCGCTTTTTCCGTACGTCCGTGTTTGCATTGTTCTACCCCGAAAAAAGAAAAAATAAAACGTCCATAATAGACTGGAGCCCGCCGCTTTTGCTCCCGCTTCCCCCCACTTCTCGCGTTGTTTTCTCGCCCCGTCGTATAAATTTTAATGATTTGCACGCTGCGCAACTGCGACGCCACTCTGGCGATTTCAAATTAAATTAGTGACACACTTAGTAATAATTAATTTTCGCACACTTGTTGTAGATTTTCCTTACGTTTTGCTTTTGTTTTTTGCGCTTTTTTTTCTATTTAGCTCTCTGTCGTCGCTGCTTTAGTGGTTGTTTTTGTTGTTTCTGCTCCTGCTGCTTGTGGGCTAATTGTTGTTGCTGCTGCTGCTTCTGCTTTTCTGCCTTTTTTTTGTTGTTGGGCGCGTGAAACTCGTCGTTGGTGTTGCTTTTTAATGCTCTTCTCCGTTTCTCTTCTTCTTTTTTTGCATACACTTTGCGCACACACACACCAACAGCGCCACTCGTACGCACACAGGCACACGCAGCACACAGACGCACACTCACACGGCACACAGACACACTGGCACACACACACAGGCACGCACTTTGGTTGCTAGCTTGCGTTTTTTATTGCCTCCGCACAACGAATATTTTCACTCGGTCCGTGCGCGTTTCGTGGGCGCTTTTCCGCGACTTTTCCACCAGCGGGCTGCGGCCAGCGTCGTTGCGAGTGTTTTCGCCAGCAATTTCCAATATTTCGCTGGCCAAATTCAGTGCTTTTTGTTAGAATTATTAGCCACTAATTTCTCCGCGAAGCCACCATTTTGTAAAAATATCGGTGTTACCAGGTGGAAATTTGGCTTTCCGCCTAAAAAAAATTCGAAAATAACTGTGGATTTCAGGCTTTTGCGGCATCTGGGCACACTAGGATGTTACCGGGTGAAAATTGGGCTTAGCGGTTAAGGTACATGTCAAATGTCAGTTTTACTTACAAACCGTGTCAAATGTAGCAATGCGGTAGAAGCTATGTAAAACGGGGTTGAATTTCCAATCGGTTATGTAAAACGGGATCGAATTCCGAATCGGTAAGTAAAATTGTGGAAAATTGGAGGTGGTTACATTTCACACTAAAAATCCCAGAAAGGGTGTGTACATTTCCGCTTTCGCGGCTTTTGGGCACACTAGGACGCTGAAACACGACCAGCGATGCCAGACTTTTCAAGAACATCATTAACCGATAACTATAGTTATATCGTTGGATTTTTAGCTATTTCTCTAGATTTTGTGCTTTTTAGCTGGCTGATTAGCTATATAGCTGGATTATTGGCTTTATAGCTAGTTTTTAGTGTGCCCAGAAGCGGCGAAAGCGGATATACCTTAAAGCCCCATTTTCACCTGGTAACACTGATATTTGTTTGTCTAAATAATGTTTGTTTTGTTATTCGTTTCGTGTCGTTGAAATCTCGTAGCGCTAAATATTAGCTAAAAAGTAAAAATATAATAAATATAATAGTAATACAAGACAAATCGCGCGTTGAACTGATTCTGAATCGCTGGCATTTAACTTCCCACCAAGGATAATCATTGTGCAAAATGTGCGACGAAGGTGTTCATTTAGGTAAAAATCTCAATTGCGGAACGAATTAAACGTATTTTTGGGCTATTTGCACAAGTCATTTGCATAGCCATTAACTGGCGTTCTAATGTTCAAACAGAGACTCTCCCAGTGCGTTAAAATACCATTAGCAAAGCCGGTGGTTTCCAGTTTGTTGATAAGGGGGGGTGGTGGTGGTGGGGATTTGTGTGAGATTTTCTCTTGTTTAATTAAAATGACAGAAAAGTCGGCTAAATTTAGCGCAGAAAGGCAGGCACTCGAGGAAAAGCGTTGCCTTTTGGCCTTTGGTAGGAATCCGGGGCAGCTGCATTTTGGATAAACATTCACATGCATAAGTGGGTTACACTGGAAGAAATCCGATTGTTTTCTTATAAATATTGTATTATTTAAATTAAAATGTTTTAAAAAATTCTGGAGATCAAGATTTAATTCTGGGTCAGCAATAGATATAGAAAACGATTGAGAAATTTTCACTATGTTAGAAAAAAGTCATTACATTTTCCTTCCTTTCAATAAAAATTAATTTTAAAAAATATATTTATCAAGCTTTTTTGTAAACAAGCACAACATTCTTGTCAGTGTCCTCACCCAACTGTATGAAAATGTATTCTTTCCATTTCCTTCCCATCTTCTTTGCACATTTCCTCGACTTTTGCCTATTGTTGTTCTCTGACCCTCTTCCTGATTTCTGCCGCAATATTAAAAATAATATTTGCTCATGGTCAAAGCTAAGCCAATTTTGCTTGCCCCGCGCTCACACACACAGAATCAGCCAACCTTCAACACCCACCCACCCACGGAACGACCCCCTCGACACTCTCCACCTTCCTCCCCAGAAATCATTTGACATTTGCCGGCGGAATCGATGATTTTCCCGTGTTGGCGGCTGTTTGCTATTCGCGTGACTCCAATGGGTTCGCTTATCTTTAATTTTTCGGACGGCGCTCGCCTAGAATTTTTATCTGTGGCAGTTGAGCCAGTTGAAGCGTTCTTAAATTGTCTTAGATTAATTTTTATTTATGATCTCCTGACAGGAGTTAATGAATTGTGTGCCATAAACACATGGAAAGCACAAATATAATTTCCATTTCGTCGTTGTATACACTTTCATCAATTAGGGCTTATCGCTTTCTTTGGTGGGGCAGTTGCAAGTGGCAACCATATGGGGTTTATTGTGTTATTTTTAGTAAATTAGAGTGATTATTTCATCAAATATTTTAATTAGAAAATATTGTGTTACTTAGAACTACATTTAATATTATTATCCAAAAAGCAGTAGTATCTGAGCATTCTTAAAGGGAAAATGCATGACTGCCGACCCATGCAAATTGTCGTGAGTTAGCACTTGATAATATTTGCCGAGCGTTTCCCAATTGTGAATTCATTTAGCGCCTCGACCGACCGGAGATTAGATGTAGTTTCAGCGCCTCCAGCCAGCAAGACCAACAGGCAGGCGGCGGTAGTAATGAAAACGATCCCCGGCCCCATTGGGGCTAATTAAATTGCATAGAACCTGAGGCTGCTGTTATTGTAATCTTTTTTTCGTTTCGTTTTGCAAAGAGTGATATGCAATTGTGTAATGCACATGAGTCCGGGTCTATTTATAGCGCTTGGGGACTGTCGGGCACGTTGTTTGGCCTCGTTGCCTTGCCGCTTGAGGGAAGACCGCATAACCAAAACACCACCCAACCACCCATCCATTCACCGAGCCAAAGAACCCCACCACACCGAGGTGTTCGTGATTGATATTTGTCCCGTTGGGACACGGACACCTACTCAATTGTTTTGATTCGAGAATTTCGAAAACAGAATTTACAATATTGTTATGCATGTTTGCAGTTTGTCGGCATTCCCTCTCCCGCCCTCTGCTATAATAAATAAATATATTCTATATTCGATTTGGCACGTACCGCAAATGGATGCCTTTTTATGGCATCCCCAACAGCGATTCCGGTTGGCACCTGAATTAGTTATGGGGCAGACCCACAAGTACATAGCGTCAAAGTCAGTGTCACAGCAATAACAAAACGCATTAAATTTGAGTGGAAGGTATTGCATAAATCGGATGTAGAAGTAGCCAGTGTATAATTACATTTGTCAATCACAAATGGGTATAAAAAGGAGTAGTGAAAATGGAAAATTGCAAAGTAGAGTCATAACACCTTAGCTACTCTACTGGGATTGAAATGGAAATAGGTAAAAACAGGAAATTATGTTAGACTAGAAATAGAATAGAATAGATAAATTTACTGGATTGAAAGAATAATTTTTTAAATGAATTCGAAATCAATTGAAATTGAGTTGTAACAAAATGCTGCATACTTTTGGAAAACATTTTAAACTAATTCCATATATATAGCAACTTCTGTGGGTCACCAGATAACGATAGGATCACTCTTATTCATTCATGGATTGGCTTGCCCCCATTTGCAGGCATTAATTTAGATCATATTCAAGCAAACGAACCAATTGAAATACATAGAAGTGGCCAACGAGAATTCAATTGGCAGACAATCTGTCAGATATGCATCAGATAATTTCCCGACATTCATGCGAAGATTGAGGAGCCCAAAGCGAGTGCCATAGAGGCAAGTGCAGAGATGAAATCCCAAAAATGGCCGAGACTCAAATTTGAATTTCTAGCAATAACAGTTGCGGCAATCGATTGTGAATTTCCATTAATGGTTAATCAATTGTTATTCGATTGGGGGGCACGTGAGAGTCGTTGCCGTCTGCCAGATTTTTGCGTGTGGCGGCGCATGACTCGAAGTGACATTTATAAAAAGAACAATCGCCTTGCCATGCCTCCAACGAAGATTCTCTGCTCGCCAGGCATTGTGCGACCTGGGACCTGGGAGCTCGCCTCCATTGTTGAGTCGGGTTTAAGCAGATTAAGCTGGATTACGATAAATTGCTTACATACTGCGAATTAAGGAAGGAGCGACCGGGAAATTACTTCAATTTCGCCTTCGGCAGCGTTAAAGGGAAATAACAAAAAAGCAAAGGAAATTACACATAAAAATCTTGTCGACATTTCCTGCACGCTAAAGTGCAAAATTGAATTATGACGTTCTGCTGAGCGGGCGATCGGCCAAAAGAAACAACAAAATAAAGGGGAATGGTCAAGGGAAAAATTCATGAAAAATGGAAAACAAAGATCAAGCGTTTGGCGCAGACATTCCAATTGTGGCGACACCACAGAGCTGAACAAAATATCATTTTAAAAATACAAAACAGCCAGGCAAAAGTTTTCAAAAGCATAGGGAAAATAAGCCATTAAATCCGTGGGAAGAAAGTTGAATTAAAAATAGATTATATTGAAATTTTATAGTTCTAACTGGTAAAATAGAATAATATGATCAACAACTAATAATAATTCTCTATAATTTTGTTTCACTAAAAAACATTTAGGCATACAGTTCTCAGATACCTTTGTCATGCTTTTCCACATTTATGTTTTGCAACTTTCCCCACAATTGCCTCTGCCAGTGCCATGACCAACTCGTCTAAGGCTTCTATTTATAGAAGCAGACTCGACTTTTTCGGGGCCAAATGAAATATGGCCAACACAACCAACCTCATTGGGGCAATCGCATGATTAACTATGTGACTATTCCGATTATGTGTTTCATTTCATTCTGCGATCGGGATTAAATGTCCGATTAGAGGCTCGTTAAGTTGTCAAAATTTTAATAGCTGCATAAATATTTGTCAGCAATTTGTTAATTGCATGGCAAAACATGCCTTCTATTAAAGTGCTACTCAAATATGCAATGGCCCCTGCCGGCAATTAGCGTGCTTTGACCACTATTATGCGCTAATTTCGATTGTGGTTAATAGGTATATATAGCGGGTAATGGTTATTATTAAACCACAGTCATCTGATGCAAGCTAAAGGTGTAAATTAAATAAGGAAGTGCCTATCAATATTGTTTTCTATTTCGTTTGTAACAGTAACAGGGTTTTTATTAGAGTTATTTTCTATATTTAATACCCAGTTGTTAGGAGAGTCCGACTAAAGACTAGTTTCATAGAAAATTCAAATTAAATTTTTTGTGGCTATAATATTTTCTTCTATTTTTCATCTAAATGGTTTCTCTTCAAAGAAGAATTCGGCAGTTTTTTGATATTTCATCATTGTTAGCGCACAATTGGCGTGCTGGCAGCAATTAAAATCCGACATAGTCAGCAATGAGTATATATTTATAAATTCCATTCCATGGATAGCACTCCGCCTCCGTCCTCTTGGGAGGGGTGAGTGTCAGCGGGAAATATGACGCTTGAAATCACAGAGAAGTGCGTGCACTTGGTCCCAATTGACCCAATTTTAATGCAATTTGAGCCCAAAGGAAGTCCAGGCAGTTTCCCCCATCCATTTTGTACACTCAAAACATTGCATTTAACTTAAAAATTTTAAGATTTAAATTAGAATTTGAAATTAGTTTGATTTATGGGAAGTTATCTAAAGCTACACTGTCTGAGTAAAAATATTGCATACAAATTAGTAAAGCTTAAAAAGTTCCCTTTTTTTGTATAGTGTAGTAACGTCGGAAGCGGGAGGGGCGCGTTTAATTACACGCTTACATGCAATTTCCGCGGCGACTGCCGCTGGGGGAAGTTTACTCGAGGCGGTGTCGTGGAGACTTCTGTTTGCTTGTTTGTTTATCTCGGAATACTTATGTTTATTACGGTAATTTTGCTCGATTCCACCTGCCGCCCGCCCCCCCTGACGGCCTTTGGCTTGCGACTTGTTTCCGCGAGAAGAACATTCTTTTTAATTCATCCTATCTTGCTTGTTCAACAAATAGGATTTTCAATTAAACACTGTGTACATTTACAAATCGCCAGAATGGAAATAGCTGGGGAATCTCCGCTTTGTTATTATCTAGAGAAAAAGATTTAAAGTTGTAGTTTCAGAATAAATTAAACTGTTAATTTGAAAACAAACCAAACTATAACTTTTACCTCTTGCCCTTTCAGACCACCATGTCCACTTCGACGCGGCCACGGTGAAGGATGACTTCGAATCGGACAGCTGTGTGACATATCAACGGTCGGGCGACACGATCGCGGTTAGCCTGGGCTTCCTGCAGATCAACCATCGCTACCTGATCGACCTGAAGCTGCCGACGACGCTGTTCGGGGATGCGGGAAAGCAGCTGCCGGGCAGCAAGTTCGAGCCGGTGGTGAGCGCCACACCGAATCTGCACTGCCGGATCACGGAGTTTGCGGGCACCAAGCATGACGAGCACGACTTCTTCGAGATGAAGATCGAGTTCTTCGCGTACAAGGAGAAGCTGCTGCGCGAGGTACTGCACATCGTCAGCTCGAGCAACGCCAAGGAGCTGCTGCAGCTGGTAATCGCCGCCCGAGTCCTGGGCAAGGGCAAGGGCACGCCCATGCTGCGCACCGGCATCCATTGCATCGGCGTCGAGCGGGACGAGGATGAGTCGGAGGCCTCCGATTTTGCCGGCTTCGAAAGCAGCAAGCCCTAATTCGTTTTCGTAGTTAATTGCAGACATATTTACGTAGTTCTTAAGAGCAGCAAAGGCGAAAGTTGTAAGGCGTAACGTTAGTTATCTACCTACATAGCAAACAATTGTGTAAAACTCATTGAGCATTTGCATTTACATTTAGTCCTCGGTATCAGTTTCAGTTTCCGATTCAGTTGCAGTTTCAGATTCGTTTGTTGTACTTAAAAGTTTGTAAGCTAGCCGAGCAGGTTGCCAGGAATAGGTGTACGTGATGTAGCTTGACTTTTACAGACAGTTTTATGACCCATCCGCCTTGTGTTCTATTTGAAACCCATTTGCATTTTGACTTTAAAATATGGCATTCTAAAAGCTCTGCTTCGACATTGAAGGGTTCTCAAGTCCACCAAGCAATCACTTCTGCATTTTCCCCTCTTAAAAATATAATAACTTTAAAACATTGACCTGAACTGCGATAGAAAGAGTCAATTTATGATTTCATCTGGAGAAATTGTTAACTTTTAATGGTTTCGAATTCCATTCATTGTACATACATAGAATCATACATACTTAGAAGCACTCTACTCAAAGTATTCTTGCAATTTAATTCAAATAACCCCAAAAAACCCCACACAGACCAAGCTGCAAATCAGTTTTTCTAAATGTGTATAGAAATATAAGTGGCGCCAAGTCCCAGATGCAATTTATTGTGTGACCAATGCGAGGTGCTCCTAACATAAACCACATTGAAGCATTAACTCAAGATATATCTAATCCTTTTTGACTAAAGTTGGCCCACGATTAGGGCCTTTTGATAATCTATTCAAGTTGATAATATTTTGCACTGACGAATGTATAAAAATGGGCACCGTAAGCGTAACTAATTAGATTTTATAAACCTAAATCGATCCGGAAACCCAACAATTGGAGCTCAATATAACACGATATATACTGTATACAGTCTAAGTTTATTATCGAGTAGGCATGCCGTTGTCATGCCCCTAATAAAAATCCGTTAAACACACCACAAAGTATATTTTATTTTTAACTACAACACTCACACATTTTCACCATGTCGCAGTCGAACAACCAGGCGGAGGAGCAGTTGCCGTTTAACAGAAAGCTCACCTTGCTGGACCTGCCGTACGATGTTCTTGACATTATATTCTCAAAGGTGGACTTTCCTCACCAAAGGATATTGCGCGGCGTTTGCAAGGGGCTGAGACACCACCACAACTGCCACATAATGCACAAGTACAACTGGTATTTGGCACGTTTTGCCTACCAAGTGAAACAGAGTGAGAATGCTGGAGATCAGCGCTTGAGGGTCCTGCTCCAGGTACGCCATATACTTATGTGTTATATTTTAACCATAATTATTACTTTTTAGTAAAAAGTTTTTACCCACAGATCATGGACGGAGCCGCCAAAAACTTCCTGCAGGCGGGCTTAGAGTCACAGTATGCCAGCAACATACTGTACTTCTACGAACTCAATTCCAGGAGCAACCCTTCCGTCATATACGAATTCCTCTATCGCCTCCAGCTCCGCGTGGAAGACCCCCCCTTGCCCGGGGATGACTCGGCCAGGATTGGTGTTCGGGATCTTCGAATCATCTATACGATTGCACTGTTCCGGCTCCTGCGAGTGGGTTTGAATGTGTTTGCTTGTCTCCAATTCACCGACGATGGTTTTCTTCCAGTCATTCCACCACTTCCGGATCGTGGAATCCAGCATGAACGTGATGCACTGGCAGCTCGTGGTGGAGGTGCCCAATGTCTTTCTCGGAGTGATGGACGAGCGGAACGTGAATCTTCGCATGTCCAATCGATGTAAGCGCATCGGCCTTTTGTCCATTCTGGCTGAGATGCTCTTCTACGTAAAACAGAACCAGACTTTTGGGTAAAAAGCGATTCCAATAGGAATAATTTTTAGTAACTAACTTGTAGTTTCGTACAATTATCTTGATTATGGATTTATATTGAGATGAAAAGTTTGATATTATATATCGACAAGAATACCATAATTAAACGTCGACGTTTGTATGCCCTTCAGTTTGCAATTGGATCATTAAGAATCCATTAATTTTGCTCAAAAAATAACAGGACCCTATAAAGTATATATATATTCTTGATCAGCATACAGCCGAGTCGATCTAGCCATGTTCGTCTGTCCACCTGTCCGTTTCTACGCAAACTAGTCCCTCAGTTTAAAAGCTATCTGAATGAAACTTTGCATATAGTCTTCTATATACTCTCACTGCTATATATGTCGGAACGGGCCGGATCGGAGGACTACATGATATAGCTGCCATACAAATGTTCGATAAATTTTTAGAACAAAAATTATAACTTGTCTGTTTTTGAACATTTTTGCACCATTTTTTAGGTATGGCCATTTAATTTTATTTCAGAATTTCGAAAAAAAATTTCATGAAAATCGGACGACTATATCTTATAGCTGCCATAGGAACGATCGGGAAATTAATAGAAATAAAATTATAACTTCGATATTTTTCAACGTATTTTCATCTACTCTGAGATATAAGCTTATTTTATTATTCTAGAATTTTGGTATACATTTCATAAAAATCGAACAACTATATCATATAGCTGCCATAGAAACGATCGGTAGATGTAGAGAAAATGTAAAGCTGGGAATCCAAAACTATAACTGTCAAACTTTAAACATAATAAGTAAGGTAAAATGTAATGAAATAATATCTGCAAGGGTATACAAACTTCGGCGTGCCGAAGTTAGCTTCCTTTTTTGTTCAACATATTTTTATCATTTTTGAGATATGGATATTATTATTATTATTTCAGAATTTTGATTTTAATTTTATGAAAATCGGACGACTATATCTCATAGCTAAGCCGAATTAAGTAAGCCATGTCCGACTGTCCGATAGGCTTTCCATTTCTAAGCAAAATAATCGAAAACTTCGTAAACTATCATAAGTTAATGAATCCTATTTTGTACTATGTAATTTTTATAGCGTATTCCAATTTCTTATTCAAACTTCTCATATCCATCATTTTTTGCAGCGGTTTCAAGGATACCGGCAACGTGGTCTACACATATGGCATCCAGCCAGGCATTCAGACTAAAAGGAAGCCACGCCTAATGATCAAGTGCATTATACTGGCCTCGAAGAGTATACGTAAGCTGCTGCAGGATGTCATAGCCGGAAAGGACGTAACCAAAAGCTCGTTCAACGTGCCATTGGATGCGGTTTTTAGAGCTCGGCTCGAAGTGAGCAGCAAGCCAGAAAAGCGGTTTTTCGACTACGGCACGATGCACATAAATATTTTTCAAGATGATTAGAGGGAAAAAGTAGTTTAAAACTCAAGTAGTTGTTCTATATTTATAGTATTCCGTTTTTATGGCTATCGTGATAAACCTGAAAATAAGTTTTAATAATAGGGCACATGCTTATAATTATAAATTACATTTGTAAGGTGTAGGAATTTTTAAATTTGTAGTTCAGCTTCGACCTAGGCAAAACTAAAGCAAGCCCAAAGATTTAATTTTCAAAATGTAGGTTGATATATGAACATAGCCTTATCTCACTTGCATAAATCCCCTTTAAATAGGATTCTACAATTTCTGTCGTTTTCCTATTTGGAGACAATTTGTAAATACTTAGTGGATTATCTTTTCGAGGCATTTAAACAGAACATATGAAATAAATTGTAATCGCATGCACTTTTATCTAACGATAAAGCCAGTGATTTAGATTCGACAATGCGAAGGCGGGGAAGTACACACATTGTTTAAAACACCAAAGAGATAATTTCCCCTTGTTGCATTTCGTGTCTTAGCTCTTTCTCTCTTAAGGTAACGAAACGAGAGCGAGTTTATCACGGCTCTCTGCTCTAGATCTTTCGATTTCTTGGGGCAGCGGCTCTTTCGGCGTTCATTTGAACGGGATTTCCTGAGCTGCAACAACGACACAACTCGGATCGGCTATAACTGCAAATTCTTGACAAGATGATGACCTGGGAAAATAATAAACAATTAATAATTGCAGTAAATGTGTTCTTTTTGTTAGCAGTTTCACTCATTCTCATCTGGTGTATTATAATTAACAAAGATTTGTTAAAGACATAACCAAAGTGAGTGATTTAATATTGACGGGATATCTCAACTACAATGTGGCTTAAATATACAAATTTTCCAGCTACTGAGATGCCGGCGACATCGACCACAACAACGATTCCGCATTATTCCGCATCACTTCATAGTTTACAACATCCCATGCCCACAATACTTACGATCAATTGGCTGTAGCAATGCCGAACGCTGATCAAGTTACAAATAAAATGAAATAATAAAACAAATATGATGTGTTTTCAATTATTGTGCTGTAAACTTTTTCTAATTTAGAAAAAAGATTCAAAGGCTGAATAAAATAGTTACTACACAAGTTAAAAAATATTCTTAAAGAGCACAAAACATAAACATACCATTCTGAATGGGCACAAAGAGATGGTTTTCTAAATAACTTTATTTTCTTAACCACTTGCTTACGAGGTGAGATAAAAGGGAATACGGGGAATTCACGTAGTAAATTAATTCGGTTGGCGATGACGGTTTATTGCTGTGAATATAATTTGTCATTGTGTACATATGCCGTGACGAAGAGCACCGAAAGTCAGTGCTGTCATTTAGTAATTTAGTGACTAGCTCTGGCAATTAAAAAAATCCACAACTTATTTTGGTTAATGCCATTAGCAACAAATCTAGAAATTATTAATTTGCAATTTTAACAATTTATTTATTTATAAAGTACTTTAAAGTATGTTTAATATTTATGATTTCTGGTTGCAAGATGTTTTATCAATGGTGTTTAGGAGTGGGGTGGCTGCTCAATCCTCCGCAAAAGGATCAATAAAAGTTTATCCCACGAAGTAGAAAAACGCAGAAAATTCGGGGGTCGAAAAATGACATCGGCGGAGTGCCCGTAGCATACATATATTTTCGTAGTCGATTCGGTACTAAACTTAGCTTAGCCTAAGGGCCCGCTGCCGGCCGAGAAGCCCAGCTTAACGGCGCGAGAGCGGGAGAGCGGGAGAACAGTGAACTAGAGCGGCGTAGCCGTCCCTAGAAGCGAGCGACGATCGGGAACACGGGAGCGTCCCAGTCGGACTTTTCGGGAGGACGCGAACAGGGGAGGATGAAATTCTTCTGCAAATGGGAGGGCTTTCTTCGAACGAAAATTCCCTTTGGGGATTTTTATTTTTAATGCGAGAGAGAGAGAGAGAGATAAAGGGATACATATATTTTTGCTCTTTACTTGAAACTGTATGTATTCGCGTTCCCGACATTAGCTTTTGATTTGACTCAGTGGCGCAGTTGGTAAGCGGACGGTCTGTGATTTCTGAGACATGGGTTCAAACCCCGACCGGGATTTAAGAAAAGTAAGTTTATAAGTGGCTTTTAATAAGATTTATACATTCATTTAAGTAATTTAATAACCATTTAAACAAATAATAATTAACAAATAAAATAATAAAAAAAGTTTTTTATTTTCTAAATTTTTATACTCTCTGGGGAGGAAAAAATTCTGGAATTTTGCAGAATTTCTTCCTGACCCGAGCAGCGACGGATTCTTCGTAAATCCAATTTTTTATACTCTCTTGGGAGGAAAAAATTCTGGAATTTTGCAGAATTTCTTCCTGACCCGAGCAGCGACGGATTCTTCGTAAATCCAATTTTTTATACTCTCTTGGGAGGAAAAAATTCTGGAATTTTGCAGAATTTCTTCCTGACCCGAGCAGCGACGGATTCTTCGTAAATCCAATTTTTTTATACTCTCTTGGGAGGGGAAATTCCGTAAAAGATCAGATTTTTATACGCTCTGGGGAGGAAGAAGTTCTTCAAAAGGCCAGAATTTCTTCCTCACCCGAGCAGCGACGAAGGGAGACAAAATACACGAATTACCCCGGCCGCCCATGTATAAAGTCCGACTGGGTAAGCGCTCCCAGCTTAGCAACGCTCGCCCGCTCTCCGCTCCTCGGTATTACCGATCGCACCCCAGTCGGACTTTTCCCTAGGAAAGGAGGACTATTTTCTCCGAGAAACGGGAGGAGGGAGTCCTACCTTTTTCTGTAAAAGTCTAATTCGCTTTTATACATGGGCGGCCGGGGTAATTCGTGTATTTTGTCTCCCTTCGTCGCTGCTCGGGTGAGGAAGAAATTCTGGCCTTTTGAAGAACTTCTTCCTCCCCAGAGCGTATAAAAATCTGATCTTTTACGGAATTTCCCCTCCCAAGAGAGTATAAAAATTGGATTTACGAAGAATCCGTCGCTGCTCGGGTCAGGAAGAAATTCTGCAAAATTCCAGAATTTTTTCCTCCCAAGAGAGTATAAAAAATTGGATTTACGAAGAATCCGTCGCTGCTCGGGTCAGGAAGAAATTCTGCAAAATTCCAGAATTTTTTCCTCCCAAGAGAGTATAAAAAATTGGATTTACGAAGAATCCGTCGCTGCTCGGGTCAGGAAGAAATTCTGCAAAATTCCAGAATTTTTTCCTCCCCAGAGAGTATAAAAATTTAGAAAATAAAAAACTTTTTTATTATTTTATTTGTTAATTATTTTATTTGTTTAAATGGTTATTAAATTACTTAAATGAATGTATAAATCTTATTAAAAGCCACTTATAAACTTACTTTTCTTAAATCCCGGTCGGGGTTTGAACCCATGTCTCAGAAATCACAGACCGTCCGCTTACCAACTGCGCCACTGAGTCAAATCAAAAGCTAATGTCGGGAACGCGAATACATACAGTTTCAAGTAAAGAGCAAAAATATATGTATCCCTTTATCTCTCTCTCTCTCTCTCGCATTAAAAATAAAAATCCCCAAAGGGAATTTTCGTTCGAAGAAAGCCCTCCCATTTGCAGAAGAATTTCATCCTCCCCTGTTCGCGTCCTCCCGAAAAGTCCGACTGGGTAAGCTTTTGGACGCTCGGTGGCCAGAGGGGGAGCAGGGGCCTCCTGGCGTAAACAAATGGATTTGCAAGGATTGCACTTATAGACCAGTTTTTTATAATCGTCATCAATAGCAAATCAAATATGTTATAACAATTAAAAAAAATACACAAAACAAGAATGGGAAGGCGAATAGGATCACGGAATCGAATTTTAAATTTCTCATACCTTAGCCAAAAATTAATTAATCAAGCACATTTATTAATTTTGGGGTCGAAAATGCCTTTACTACTTTTTAAACTTTAAGAGTGTACAAAAAATATTTGTTTCAAAATGTATGCAAAAATATTATCTGAAATTTATTTTTGTTTAATGTTATTATTATTTGTCACAAAATTTGATATCCGAAAATTTTGGAGTTGACTGTGTGTGCATTTTATGTCTTAAATACCACAATAAATGAGTCAATGTTTACACCAATTTATTGAGTGTTGAGTGAGTTGAGTGAGGTTCTGAGACAAAGAGCAATTCTTCGGCGCTTTAGTCGATTCTCGTTATTTGTTTTAATCAATATAAAAATAATAAATGCTGTCAGTGAAGTTTCAAATAAAATGAATTCATAGAAAAAACTTATATATTTTGTGCTGTTTTTTGTATCTTAGTGCTAATATCCCGCATTATCGGCTAAAATTACCTCAAAAGATGATTGATTTACGACCTAAACTGATAATTTGTTGCATTTTGTTAATGTATGTATGTATTGCCTACTATAAACAAAGCTAGATGTTTTGATTCTTTGTAAGTGCATAAATAAGCACTATTTTATTTATGCGGAAATTGTATTGAATGATCACACTGCAACCAGTACTTTTTAACTCAATCGCAACCAGATAAGTCATCAAACTCTTGAAAAATAAACAATTAAAGGGAAAATCGGAATAAAACGCGATAATGAAGTGCGATTGGGTGGAGATCATACGATTCAGTACAAGCTTTGCTCATCTATTTATAGGAAACCTTATGGATTTTCTAAGATTTATAGGTAATTGCTAAATGTTATACATGTACATATATGAAGTCAAAATAAATAAAAAAGAGTTGTACAAAATGCCACTCGATTGGATGAATGATGATTCAAGATTTGCATATAAAATCATCACACTTAAGACTAGGATTATTACATAACATACACAAAGTTATTTTTATAAATAACAAATTAAGAGGAAATAATATATTTTGGTTTTGCAGAGACATCGGTTATCAGAAAGACAGTTTTTGGTGTAATTTTGGAACCAGCTAATTAGCCTATTTAGCCTAATTAGCTTAGTAGCCTTAAATATAATAGATAATAAATATAATAAAAGATAATTAATGTTTAAAGTTTATGGCACATTAAGAGTACCGGCAACATAAGCCGCCTGCATTTAAACAACATAAAAATCGTATTTATAAAAAGAAATGCCAAGGAATCAAATCTGAAATAATTAAAAATATTCCAAAAAGTGTATTTTTCTTTGTTTTTCAGTTAAATTGCAGAAAAGCACCCATCTACTATCAGTCACCGTCGATTGCTCTTTAATTTCAATGTATATATTATGTGCGGAGGGTGAAGGCAGTGCCAACGAGTGTGCCAGTCGGGCCTTTTAAACGATAATTAAAATGCATCAATTTATTGCCGTGCCCAGTGCGATGTGCGAGCAATAATAGCCATTTAATAAATATGCTCAATCAATGCCACCCCGCTTGCAGTGCAGCCTCCATCTCGAAAATAGCGAAAAGAATTGGG